TGCTAGCCAAAACTTGATTTCCAACTTCACCAACTTTTTGCCGTGTATTAAATTAATCTACTTCTTCATTTACACAGGAAATTTTTTCATCAATTTTTACTTCTTCTTTAGAATTATAGCATAAAAAAAACAAATTTTCAATCAGCTTGTATCAGGTTTCACCAAGTACACTCAGCTACTTCGTACATCAAATGCAAGATACCTTATACTTTTATGGAAAATACTGCCTATCATTGTTTCTTTCAAAGAAGATAGTGTCAATTTTAATAACTAGGACTCCACAGACATATAATTGGGCGAAAAAAATAACATACCAGTTGAAAATTGATCTCCAATGTTATGAAGAGCAAAAGTTGTTGATGCAGTTGCATTTGGATGAATGAATGGCATGTATTTATCGTTATCAGAAAGATTTGGTACGTTTTTGCTTCCTCCTTTGCGTACGTTCCTGTCCTGATTTGAAAATAACAGGAAAAATCATTTTGATAAAATGTTCCACAGCATCACTGCTATTTCTACCAAAGATGAATTCTGTGCGTTCATGCTATCATCATGTATATCTTCATCTTTGTTGCCTTTACATCTGAATCCAACTGCTCTAAGAGGGCAAAACACTCCTGTGTACTCAATCCTTAATTCTCACTTTGATTGCGATCTATAGTTTTGAGAACGCTGGTTAAGTCGAGTTTATTTTTTGACTAATGCTCTACCAGGATTATTTTCCCTAAAAAAATTCTGTAGCATGATAATGCCGCTAGGATGAGTGCAGACAAGAATTAGAATGCTTGGTGTTCGATGCATGTATGGACGAGGAGACTCGTCTTCCTCATTGGTCGAAACTAAGCCAAATTGGAGCTGATTCGCTTCCTACCAGCCATCACGACAGGAGTTGCATGTTTACTAACGCACACAAAATCAAATATTCAAGATCGAGAATAGACTTTCACTTGAAAAACGGTCATTTTTCTTATGAGGGTCAAAATGACTCCCCGTTGGCTGTTTTGGGAATATCTATAATTATTTATTTTAAAAATTAAAATAGAAATATGAAAAGCTGTCACAATACGCATGGAAGCATATTAGAAAAAGTCGAAAAACAGGATCAGCGGTGCTCGCTTATATGTTGAAATACAATATGTTAAATTGAAAAAAGCGCTTCCACACCACAGATCCGGGTTCTATTCCCGGGCTGGGCAAGGTCGACTCAGCCTTTCATCCCTACTCCAGTGGGTTGATAAACGAGAACCAAGCTTGATTGGGGACTTCAACACTGGGGCTCACTTTAGTCTGACCACCTGAACGGGACATCTGCACATGCACCTCAGCACCCAATGGTCACGTATACTGGGATGGGCAAAGTAGGCCCTGGCTCTCATGAGCTGTTGCGCCACTGAGTTGAGTTTAAATTGAAAAAAAAGCTCAAAATGACCTCAGTGGCGCTTCTAGTGTTAATGAAAGTCGATTCTTCCTTCTGAATGAATTAAGAACCCGCAAGATAAACAAAATGTTCTAAAGACGCATATGAATGAAATTTATTTCGAGTATTTTTTTTCTTTAAGGAATTGTACTGCATAGCGATGCCTATATTTCACACAATTCCTACTATTAGCTCAACTCTCTATTTATTTATTTATCTTGGTGGAATTTTCAATCGTTAATAAAAATACATTTTAAAGCATTCAATTGAGCTGAAGTTTTATATACATGATTATTTTGGATGACAATACAATAATTTAATTATA